GCACATGAAGGGACAGGTGCATGGCTTTCCAAGCCAAATGGCATAGCTGGGGCATTGCTCTAAGGGCTTTCTTCTACCCTGCTCCTGCTACAAGGTTTTACATCTAAAAGCAGTGATGGCTGTGACACCTGAGAAGCACTAGAAAAACAGAGATAAACCATACTGAAAGTGATCTTCCACATAATGGAGGTTAGTTGGTCTCTTTGTGCGCCAGTCTCAATTACAACCATGTGCAGAGGTCCTTCAGTTACAGTGAACTGCTCTGAACTCACAGGAGTTAATCTATTTAAATTACTCTGTCCTGCTGTAGGACACTGGACAGGCTCTGAATGTCAGAGCTAAGGCCTCCTCACATAAACCCTGTGCTGAGGGCAATCAGCGGATTTACCACTGACAATTGCCTGCATGCTTATCATGGATGGGCATCTGTTCTGCAATGTTATCTGGGAGATCTGGAGGCTGTGATCATTGCAAGACTGCTAGCATTTTAATTATGCGTTTGCTGTCATTAATGACAGCAGTTGATAAAAATGCAATTATAAAAATAAGGCATAAGAAGTATCTCACAGAGAATTCCCGTGGCTCAGCCCCCTTGCCCTTATCTCTGGAAATCCTTGCTGGATTTACGGTGCAATAGCAGTGCCCATTCTCCTGACCCATCATCGCCCTCCAAGCACTGTGCCAGGTAGGAGCAACCCTCCATGGCTTTGCAAACTGCCTTCCAAATCACACAAAAAGCCAGCAGTCTGCTTGCCAAAAGGAGCAGGCTCGCGGGGCTGATGCTGCTTTGGCTCTCAAGGCAGAATGACTCTGCGGGGAATCTGGCAGCAGAAATCCCCCCTGCCTGCAGCATGACTCTTGCGTTCATGCACACACGGTCCCCCACAGCAGTGCCATCTGCATGTTGTGGTGCTGTGGCAACACCCAGACCCAGGTGGCAGGAGTGGAGAGAAGCCCATGGGTGCCATCCTTGGTGCAGCACCCAGTTCTGGACCCTCCTGCCCAAGGGCTGCTCTGCTCCAGTGCCAAGCAAGAGGGGAGCTGCATCTCCACTGCACCAAATGGCATTTCTTTCCCCACAGCCGTAGGTTTTTCCAAGTCATTACTGCAGAAGCAGTGGTGCTTTTCTGTTATACCAGAATTACATTTCACTCCTGCCTGAGGAAGTACGTAGTGAAATGTTGTTTGCTCTGCTTTAGGAAATTCTGAGGGGAGATAAGCACCAGCCAGCAAGCTAAGCAATACAGCAAGCTCTTTCCACTAGACACAGGCCTGTGCTGAGATCTGTGCTTTGTTCAATGAATCGGTGTTCTTCCCGGAGACCTTATGAAACCAGATTCCTTTAATTCTGTGGCATTCAGGATGCAGAGCTAAACTCGCAGGAGTTGATCTATTTAAATTGCTCTGTGATTTATATTCAAGAAAACTGAGCTAAACTCATAAGAGTTAATGCATTTAAATTGATTTTGTCTTTCAGCCTTTCTGAAATACCTGTGCAGGAGAGCTCACAGGCTTTTGACATTTCTAAGTTAGGAAAGAGAGCAGCCAAGCCAAATCATGTATGGAAAAGGGAGGACCAAAGTCTGCCTTATTGCAAACACATTGAATCTGGTATTTCAATTGGTACCCCAAAACCAAGCTGCTGGAAATGAGCTGGAAAAATTCACCAGGGTCCTACATCTTGCAATAAAAGGAGAGAGGATCAAAATAACCCCTGAGAGCTGCCACAGAGATGAACAAGCAGATGGGTCCCAAAGGAGTGAACACATCCAAACTCATATCTCATGCAGAGGCTTCGAGTTAGTTGCTTTTTCCATCCCCTGGAGGGAGACATGATCCATTTTCCCTTAAGGATGGTTCTAGCTACTGGATACCACAACAGAACATGCTCCCATTCCCCTTGCAGTATCAAACCCAGGGGAACCAGCATCCCTAAAGCCACCAGCAGAGTTTGAAACAGGGGCCCCACCACTACGGCTGCAGGGGCCTTGCACTCCTGCCCCATGCCCACGTGTTTGGGCATTGCACACACTCACCAGGGGCTGCCCCTGAGCCCCACCACAGTCACCTGCTCTCTGCAGCTTCACTGAGCTGCACTGCTTTGAAGTAAAACCAAGGGAATTTCTGCCAAACAAAACACTCTTTCCACCCCCCCTCTCTCTTTTTTCTTTTTTTTTTTTATTCTTTTTTTTTTTCGTTTTCTTTTTTTTTTTCCTAGAACCCAGTTTACTTTTTGCCTCTTTGAGAGGTCCTTGCTCTGGGGAATCCCTCGCAGACCTGCGCACACCAGGAGTTCACCGACTTCTGGGAAAGACAAAAAAATAATACATATGTATATATGGCAAGACACACTCATTTGTTGCAATTTGGCTGATTTTCCTCAAACAACCCAAACCCTGGCGGCGGGAGCCCTGCCCGCTGCGGGCTGTGCGCACTGCGGGGACCCAGCGCCACCGTCTGGGGACGCGTCCGGAGCTGCCCCGGCCCCAGCAGCCCCCCCGGCCCCCGCCGGATGGTCCTTTGATTCCCTTCTCCAGCATCCCTCATCTCCCCGTTTTGGGGCACTTTTGGCAGGGCGCAAGGCACCCCGTTGCATTGCCCGTGCCCCACTGCAGGGAGAGCACTGAGCTGGTTGCTCTGCATTCGCTGGGCTGTGGTTGTTCCAAACCCCTGAGCTGCCACATGCGCTGCGGTGGCCCAGGGACAGATGCAGGGGTATTAAGGACAATCATGCATTTAATCGCAGCCACGTTCTCCCTGCCAGGTCTGACACTGCAGCCTGGTCCTGTCAGCACCAATGTCCCCCGGCAGCCAGTGAGCCTGGATGCTGCCCATCGCTCTTGGCATGGAGGTTGCTTCCTCTGGTGATGCATGGGCAATGCTGGCAGTGTCCAGGTGCACCCCAGCCTTGGCAGCAGGACACTGGCAACCAGTAAATAGCATTTAGTTGCAGGTATGTTTGCTGACTGCTCTGTAATCCTATGTGGTCAGTGAAACACAGGTTATATTCTTCTTCCTAGGGAGTGAGATTGTGCTCACAAACAAGTGCAAGGTTGGTTTTCTGGTGTGTTGTCTTCACAGGGCTCTGAGATAGCAATAACGGACTTTGCTTTGCACCCTGATTTTCCAACTTAGATGAAAAGGGCTCTGTAAGAGCAGGATATGGATGCTTTTTCAGGAAAGGACATTGTGAGCAGCTGACATAACTCATAGCAGCCCTGTGATGCACATCCTGGCCCAGAACCAGAGCTATGACACTCAGGCAAGGACTTTAACTTTAGGCCACAAGGTGCCTCCGTGCTTCATTTTCTTCTGTAGAAGGATATTTGCCAGTCATTGCAGACAGCTGCACCATGCTGCTGTGATGATACCCCACAAAACACACAGCAGGAGCAATATCTGCAACCTTTACACACCTGGTATTACACCCCTCACACACACTTATCACAGCACCCTTCGCCGTGCTGCCTCCAGTCCTTACTCTGTCCCCTCTTTGCTGGGACCATGCCCAGCACTTTCCCTAAGTGAGCTGCCCCTGGACAGCCCTTGATCTCTTCAACCTCCATTTCTCCCATATCCACTGCCCTGAGACTGCTCAAGCCCCCCACTCAGGCTCTCACTAACATTCAGTGCTGGACACTCTCCTGCAGCACTTTTTTCCACCTGTTCCATCCCACTGACACTGCTGACATCTCCAGGCCTTCTGCAGGAAAGGTGCTCTCCAGGATCAGGTGCTCTGCAGGCTGGTGGCCCTTTGTTCCTTTTGCTGAAAAAGCAGCATGCACAAAACATACACGGGACAGCAGAGCCTTAGATCATGCCAGATGGTTGCCATTTATCCAAAATATTTGTTTGAATGAAGCTATTTCAAGAAGTGTATTAACAGATTAACAGATTAAGATTCTTAAGTCTTCTGTCCTTTCAGGTTAAAAATACTGACCATTTTTGAGACTTGTCCTGAAAAACTCTATAATTTTATTTGGCTTGATCTCTTTTCACATGAAATATTTGTTTGTTTGTTTGTTTGCTTGTTTCCTCATCATCTCCAGCTAAAGGGAATCATCACAGCAGGAGAGACACTGTTGCAAAGGAAACTTCACAGGAGCAGCAAGACTTTCTGCAGAAGAGACCTGCCAAATACTGCAAAACTACCAGAACAATACTTGTACAAACAGATATTCTGAGAGCAAATTATTGTATAACTTTAGTAACATGCCACGGATGTGAGTACTTAATATCTGCTTATAAAAGACTCCACTTGCTATTTATTGCCCCTTCCAGGATTAGCTGAGGAAGGAAATGGGAAATTTTACTCTCTGGCATGTCATGAATGTGTCTGAGATGCTGAGGAGGAAATGGAGCTGCGACCAGCGACCAGCGGAGAACAGTGCTTTCCAGCTAAGCTCCATGGGGTGTTTTGTTTTGCATTACAATGCCAGAAGGGCCCAAGTCACACATCACCATCCAATCTTCCCTACAACAGGGGCAGCACCTTTCCTCTAACTAATGGTGGGGAAGGTGACTGCTGATGGTCTGCGTTAGGAGAGAGGATGCTATAAAAAACTTCTTCACTACTTGAATGAGAGTTTAAAACCAAACCAGAGCAGCAGGGAGCATTTCTGCTGCTTCCTACCGTAGCTGCCAACCACTGCCCAGCTCAGAAGTGCCACATTGTGCCCCAAAAGCCAGCAGTGGTGCATCCCTCACCCTTTTGGTGAAGGTCACTGCTGTCCTGCACACTGGGACATGACAAGAGGAGGGTCAAGCACATGTCCTTCCTGCTGAAGAAGGCATTTCCCTCCTGTGCTAAATATGGGGGCAGACATAAATTCTTCCCAGGGTCGGTGGTGGCATGGGAAAACTCAGAGGAGGCTTTTCCTTAGCCTCTTCCTACAGCCACTTCCCTCACACTGCCGACAGAGCCAGAGCTAACACAATACAGGGGCTGGAATTTAGCACCCCACTGTTTGAGGGAGGTTAGTTTTCCCTAAAAGGCTTACCTGAGAGCATGCATTGCCTCCAGGCTGCCTCCAGGCAGGGGACACAGTGTGCAGTCACAGCCACAGGGTTCTGGGCATCTTCCCTGGGGTGCACCCCCAGCTCCAAGCCACAGGAGCATGGGGACACAGCAGGAGCTGCTTCTTTCCAGTAGAAAGCTGGCTCTGAAGTAAGTTACATTGCCTTTATTGTTCCTTGGCTCCAGCCTTCAAAAGTTCAAACTGTTTTTGTTTTTCCTGGTGTTAGTCATGCACACAGATTGGGAGTCCAACCTGTAATTCTGGCTTTGCTGCTGCTATAAAACATTCACACTGTGCTGCTCTAAACCAGGAGCAGAAACCTTTAATTTAATTCCACTAGAGAAGTTTAATCTAGGACTATGACATTTCAATTACTTAGTAATGCATATTTAACATTTAGCTGTACACGTCTAAAATTAAACCAAGGAAAAATGTTGTATATAAGCAACTGTAAGGATTTTATTTAAAGCCAGTAAAAGTTGTAAATTTAGAACAAAGATCTAAACAAAGACATTTAAAGTAAACACTTTTGCTTGTTAGGCTGCATGATTTATAGAGCTCTATTCAAAACAAAATGGCTGAGATTTCCATTTCTCCCTGTTTTTTGAATTTTTGGCTGATGGGGACAGAAAAGTTCAAAACATCGTAAGTTTCCCCTGAATGGGAAAACCATTTCTGCACCGTGTGGGTCCCAGCATGGAGAACACAGATGTTCCTCATCTCCAGGGCTTGGTGCAGCGATACAGGAAACCACTCAGGTTTGTTCTGATCGATGCTGAGGGCCGGGTGTGTTGGTTTGCAGTCTAGCAGTCCATAAAATAATGGGATAAGCAATGTGCTGGTACTTTTGACTCTCGCACAGAGAATACAGGCTTATTGCTCCCCAGTTTGGCTTTGTCTCCTGGTATCTATAGGTCTCCTCTTGCTTTTCAGGTGGGTTTTGAGTTCTCAGGGGTGTTTCTCCATGCCCCATTTTAGTGGGGATGCCGGTCCAGCGTGGCAGCTCATCCAGAGCTTGGCATTGACATACTGCATATATATATAAGAAGTATATGAAGTGCTTGACAGTTTGGCTTTCTCAAATGGTGTCATTAAGAAATATCTTCAATTTTATGTTCTTTAACATCACTGCTTTCTGCAACTCCATAGATGGTTGTTTGTTGCCCACTGCCAGAGAAGTTTCTATTCCTCCATAACATAAGCACAATAAATCAAGTTCTTTTTAGCACAGCCTCCAGAGTTCCCTGAGCAGTTTCAGTTCCACAGGCCCATAGCTTGACTCAAATCAGAAAATGGATAGATAGTCTTTCCCAGTCAATCTCTGTTTCTACCCAAAAGTTAATGGTGGATATTGATTGGTTTCAATTCTACCAGGGATCTCCAGCCTCTGGTGTAGCCCCTCTGAGCAGAGTGTTGCAGGGCAAGCAGAGGCAGTCTTGTGAAGGGATGCAAGACACAGAAAGAACAGGAGATGTTTATTGCCCCTTTTCACTACTACATATACTTTCCCTGTAGCTCCACGCACTGTCCACGTGCCCGAATCTGTCACACAATTGGTTAGAGACCCTCAGACATGTGCCTCAAGCCAGCCAGCAACTGGCCACTGCCCAAAGCTCATCTTTAACACTGTAGCCAATTTACTTCATCTCAACCTTTTTCAAGGTTTTGTTTCTACTGCTTGTTTCCTCATTATCTCTAACTCAGGGACATGTGAAACAGCACGGAGCCACCTGCAAATTCCTTTCCCACAGTATTGGAGGTCTGGGGTGGTGCTAGAATTGAAGAACAGCAAAGGAAATCCAGGGAAAAAGGAAGAAATCCTGCTGGGCTGCAGCAGTTTGGAAACAGCCCTGTGGAGGCAGTTGCTTGGGGTGAGAAACAGAGCTTCCCCACCTGGGCTTGTGCATGCACACTGACCCATCACGGGCAGGATACAGCTGGGTTTCTGCACTTCCTAAATATTTTGGGAACCATTATTATTTTCTAATTTAAATGAAGTTGCAGGAAATTAAGGGAGGTGAGAGTGAAAGTGCAGGTGTCAGCAAAGGAGCTGTTTTGTTGTTTCTCAACCAGGCACAGCAGGGACCTGGAGCTGCTGGCCTAAGCCATAGCAATGCCAACACTAAGTTCGTGGAACTGCTTTTTACAAGTGACCACTGACGACTCTATTAGCTTCCACAGCAGGTTTCAACACCTGTAGAAGGAAGAAGATTTGTTTCCACTAATAACACATTCCCTGCTAGCAACGTAGAATAAGTTAAATACTGTGAGCTTTGTCTTAGAATAAAAGCTATAGGCCACATAGTGCCCTTTTAGAGCTCAGATGTGATGTTTGTACTAAACTCATCAGTGGTAAAATAGGCAGGTTGCCCTCCTGGCTGCCAGAGTATGCAATGAGGTTAAACATGGTTCTCAGCAGTCTTTAGAGGAAAAGTAAATACTGACTCTCATTAAATATAATAACATATAATAACCTGATATTCATTTACTTAATGCTCATGCTATTAATAGGTGATATTGACCTAAATGTCTGAATAGCCTTATCCAATGTTCTATCATCTACCATTAATCCTTATCAGCTCTGTGGTCATGTTCAGAGATCTCCCTTGGGTATGTTTCCCGGACACTAGTAAACAAATAAATTGCTTCTGCTGGCTGTAATTAAAAAAAAAAAAAAAAACAAAAAAAAAAAAAAAAAAAAACAAGCAAACAAGATTTCCAGCAGCAAAGAGGAACCTTGCACTATCCTTCAAACAAAGTGCAGTGGCAGAATAAGGCTCTCTTCCTGCTGGCAAGGAAAAAGCAGAAAAGAGAATGTGAGATCAATACAGACCAGATGCAGTGCAGTCCCTGCGGTGCCCTGCCATTTCCACAGCAAATACTTTTCTGGGCAGGGAGGGCTCTGTCTTATTTTTCTTGGGCACTTCTGCCTTCCACTGCTGTTATTCAAATTTTACTTGCACCCCTCTCTGCCACCCTTCATGGACAGCTCTTTGCTATCACCTGGTTTTCCCTGTCTTTCTCTGTCCTCTGCTGGTATCACTTCTTACACCAGGGAGTACAGCTCCCCTCCAGGAACAGGACAGGTGATTCAGTGAGTGGAGCTTTGGTGGATTCTTTCCAAACACCATAAAAGCCGCAAAGGCCCATTTCAGACTGTTCTCCCACATCTGACTAGACAAGTTTGCAGATATTCCCCATGTGCTCTTTCTGGGCACTGGAGAGAGCAACAATTTAATTCCCTCTGGGAGCTGGAGTCTATCAAGAGAAAAAGCAGCAGAACAAGCCACTGGAAGTAAACAGTAATTATCATCAGAAGCACAGATATATATAAACTGGGGTTAAACTAATACTAAGGTTGAGGCAGAAAACCATGAAACCAGGAGAATTAATGCTAGGGCTGCCATGGCAACCCTGACTTACTCTGGCGTGGTTGAGTGGCAACCCTGACTTACTCTGGCATTTCTCCAGGACCTCCCAGCAAGTGCCAATGTTTAGCAGTCATGGATGTTCTTGGACAGGTAACAGAGCTGCTGGAGAAAGTGGCTGGTGCATTTGTGTAAAAGGATGCAAGTTCTGATGGAAGATCTGGAAACGCAGTCTTGCATCAGTAGACCCAGGCTCATGAGTTAGGTAGCATATGAAATCTTGAGCCCCCAGCCCAACAAGACATTACACCAGCAGAAGCTGATGAGTCAGGAAAGCAAAAGCTTTAGCAGTGAAACTCGGAAAAATGAAACCCCAGCTTTAAGTCCAAATCAGAGTCAGCTCCAGCACTAGTCCTGTTGACAGAGCTGCTAACTTCCAGTTCCCTCCCTGCCCGGCAGATATCTCTGTGCAACAGAAACAACTTCATTTTCCTCTAAGTAATATTCCTTATGGCCATTCTTAGTGTGACTCAGAGTCGTGGTCACAATTGTTCTGTGGAGGAAAGGAGTCTACAGATTAATAGTTGATAAAATCCTAGTTTAAGAAACATTTGATAAAATCCTAAGTTTAAAAACCATTCAAACTGCTGGTTGTAGCCCAGGGAAGCCTGGGCTCTCCTTGAGGCTCAGCAGAGGCTTTGTCCAGGCATGTGCCCTGTGGGCTATTACACACAGATGTGATGACCATGAACTGGAGATGTTTCCTTAGTAGTGACAGGCTTTGTGTTAATGGCATATATAAAGTTATAACTTCCAGATACCATAATACTTCGTGGCATTATTATACTTTTCAAGATCTAACTGATTTTTGTGAATGTTTTAAGAGAACATCTACTTTGGTTTAAATTTCTGTTCAATGCATAAAATGTATGCAAGGTAATCAATTCACCATAATGTTATTACCTTTTCTATTTCTACTTTCTCTTTCAAATATAAGAAGGGTCTGTAAAGCGATGTTAGTAAAAGCTACTTATTTGTTTCTGATTCAACACTTAGATTAATTTTGGATCCTTTTTTGATCTTCACAAGTAGCTAATTATCTTTTCAAACCTGACAAAATTCAGTTCAAAGGGAGCTGCTTACAATTCTGCCTTAGAAGAATAGTGAATGCACCTTCTTGTACTGTGGATTGCTTTCATCATGACTTTTGATGAGCTACAATGAAGAACAAAAGCAAATCTCTAGAGGAAATCATGGCTCCGCTATACAGTGAGGCACCAACTCTGATTCATATTAGCAGTACGCTTCTAGGCACTTAAAGATGGAACACAGAACAAACAAAAGTGTAACAATTGTGTATGAAAGCATACGCATCCACTGAACATCTTCAGACAAAAATAAAAAAAATAAAAATAAAAACAACACAAAAACGTGGAAATTTGGAGGATGGAGCATTTGCATTGGCAAAGGCTGAGACAAAACTCATCTGCACATGCAGAAATTGTCAGTATGCCAGGAAGAATGAATAAAGAGCATGTCTATGTAATTAAATTGGTTTATTTGTGAGAGCAGATGATGTAGCACAAGTCAGAGCAGCCGGAAAGTTCTCTGAATACAAATCTATGCCCAGTGAGTTTCAGGAGGGCACCTCAGGAGGCAGCTGGGGCATTCTCAACCATTTCTTATTCCATTCAGCAGGCACCCAGTTCACACTTCACCTTCAGTTTAGTAGTTGTGCTGTGTCCTGTTTTTTATTTTGGATAGCTCCCCTCAAAAATAACAAGGTTATTTCTCTTCCAACAAACCAGCTTGATGCTCTGG